CACACTTGGACACTTCGGTGAAAATCTCATCTAAGTACATTCTGAGTACCTTTGAATATTTTAATCAATTTAAACAACCCCATAATACTGTTCAATTTCCGATAGAACAAGTCTTGGGTTTCAACGTAAATTTACATATTTTGATTTAGTTCCATTCCTGGCTCCAGAGTTGAGCTAATATTTTTTACCTCTAAAACAAGTTGCCAATTTAACAGGAAAATCCGTAATTTTTCGAAGAAACTATTTCTGAAACTTTAACACGTCAAATGTGATCCAGTTTGTATATTTTCAGACATGAATGAATGATGGCAACAGCACTGGAAGTGAAAGCTTTGCTTAAAATGATCTCTTGAGCTTTATGATTTTGCATAAGTGAATAGAATAGAGTGAAACAAACAGAACTATCTGCTTGATAAGAACTAAGAACTTCATTGCACCAAATAAATAAGGATTATTTTATGGTCAAATATTAAAACAGTCGAAGTGCGGGCGGATTGTAGATAATGTTAAAACCGCTTGATCCGAAAACTTTTTTTCGTTATTGAATTAAATCCCACTACTTCAATGCGAGTCACTGAGGTACGTTGTTTGCGTAAATAAAGTAGATGGGTAATGTTTATACTATACTGATGTAAATAATTGGAGTAGCTTAATTCAATGCACCATTGTTGGAATTACTGAGAGATTGATAGGCAAAGATATGTATATGTGCAAAAATAGTATAATTGAATGATTCGATTTGTTTTGAAAACATTTCATCACACTTTCGGTATAGGAACTAGGCTTGTCGAATTTTGTTCTTATCTGAGACTGAAACGTTTGAATATATTTTTGTCCAATGTTTGAAAATGTTACATTTTTTGTGAATTTTTACTTCAAATTATGGATGCAGACAAATCGAAGAAGAACATATTATTTTCCGTGTCCATAATTTGAGTTTTTGAAGCGTCTTTTATTCAAAAATGTCAAATTATGACATCGCCCAAAAAAAATTTCAAGTCCAGACAGTCCTATTTCAAGCCCAGTTTTTCTCTCAATCGTGTTGCTCCCAGTATGGGATCAATTGATAGAATCGTTCATTTTACCATCTGTGACTCTGTATAAGTGATAAAATGCTTTTAAAATGTTTTACTGTGATAAATTTTGATTTTGTAGTAATTTTACTATGGATGCATCTATAACTTGAGTTTTTGAAGTGAAATTCCATAAAAAAAATCGAATTATGACGAAAGAAGACTCAGAGAGTAACAAAAATCCGGCAATGCAAACAGCAATGAAACATTTAATATTCATATTTGGATATCCAAATGTAGTTGTTCATTCAAAAAAAAATAAGCTGAAAATGAATTATTCCCTGCAACACTATAAATTAGCTGACATATAAAGTCAATACGAATTTAAATCCATATGATGATGATGATGATGTATTGAAAAGTCTTGAACAAAATGAACAATTTTTCTTCGTTTGAAAATGGTTTAAGTGGACATCGCTTTCAACTGATATTAAACATTTACTCAGTGTACGAAAAGCGATGCGGTGCATTGTAATTAAATAAATTGCATGGCAACTGTTTTGGATGTTTGTTTTCCGTGCGTAATTGTTTGTTTATGAATTAATAATTTATGTTATTGGCAATGCCAACTGTAATATATTGAGAAATATGTGTGTATCTGTGTGTCATCAACAGATTTCAAACATTACGTATCTCAGGATCTCTGCATACATTCTTTCTCTCTCTCTCCCTCTCCCAGAACGTTGTGCTTGCAATTTCGGAGATATGGCACAGCAAATGTGCACATTGTATTCCGTTAAATAAACATATGAAAAGTGAGGATTATTAATGAACAAATGCCAAACTAAGCATGACATGAATGACATGCTATTATTTGCAATCGAAATGCTATTCACCGAATGGATAATATTCCATAGTTGAAATAAATTCAATGTGAAAATAATTATTTTCATCCACCCATTCACATTGTGCCATCGAACCAGCCTTTTCGGTTATGGATACGAAATGGCAAACGAATGATGCAAAAAGAAAGATATTACAAGGGCATTAGTGCATGTGAATGCATCATTTCATGTATACAAGTCAAACACACTTACTACGTTTAAATAATTGATACATTGTGTCAGCTGAGTGTAACTGAATTGCAGCCGTAGATCATTCGAATTTAGCGAAACAACAGCAACTGCGTTGAGAACAAGAAGAACAATTGCTGTTGAGCATTTATTACTAAAAGTTAATGTTATTCTAACCGGCCTTTTTTATTAATTAGACGAATTTCGAGAATGTTTAATTTCATTAATAAAAAGTTGGATATTTTAAAGGAAATGTTCCACCGTCTTTTGCAAATGAGAAAACTTTTGCAGCAAATAGAAAGTTAAAATTGGTATTGCCACTTCGCCAACAAAGTTCTTTGTCACATAAGCAAAAAAAAAAAATTCCCTCAAATCAAACAATTTTTTTTGGCCCACCACAGTAAAAAGTATCATTTGAAACTGGAAAAAATGATATGCTTCATATTTTATTCATTCAAATGTGCGAATTTAATTCAAACAAAACTGAAGCATTTTTACCCATTTTTGTGTATGAGGGAGCATTTTTCCACTATGTCAACGGGGGGATGTGCATACCGAACGAAAGAATGAACGGTGAATATATCAAAAGTTTCAGCCTTATCTTTTACTTTTATTTGACATTAAATACGTTACCAAGGCGCTCAAGTCAAACTGAATCTGTACTAAAATGGCAAGCGAACGAAATAAAAATGAAACAACATCTGAACAAAAATAAGAACCAAGCCAAACATTCCAATATATAGAGAGAGACTAACGAACTCAAAGCAAATGAAATGGAAAATATACATTGTATGGCGAATCAAATACGCGCATACCGCCAGAGAATGAACATATAACGAACTCACGCTTGCTGATATTTATTTGTTCATTAACATTTGGTTGTCGCAACCGCATTACCATATTTAGAATGACCAAATCAGATCTTTCCCGTACATGGTAACTTGACCCGTGTATATTTGGTGTTTGGTAGTCAAGCCCGATGTGCGTATGAAATGATGGTGCGATGACTATGTGATGTCGCTGAAAGTTCCGCGATATTCTTTGTTGTCAATTCAATGGCTAAGTCGGCAACTCATATCATCTTGCACAATAAAATTTATACAATTACGTTGTTCAACCGTTGCTTAAATCTTTTTTTTTTGTATTTAAAACTCGGCCGGAGTAACTTCTCATTTATCTATCGCCACGTTTTTCTATTCAAACGTTATGTCGCACTTCATGAAATTATGATAAAAATAGAAGATATTTAGAAAATTATCCCTCCAATATGATGTAAAAGTAAACGTCAGTCAGAATAGAATGGAAATGAATACGGCATTTGTTTTATACCAATAAAATGAAAGAATCCAATAGTTTGTGTGTTATTAAAGTGTTTGGCGTTTTCTTTTGGTGCCAAACTAAACGAAAATAAGTAAATTAAGTGCTATCAAAACATACCATTTCGATGTTACTTCACTTGCTGTGCATTATGGTTGAAAATCACGCGATGTGTTCAGTATTCATTGTTGTTTTTCTTTTCTGTGATGGGCGTTCACGAGAGAGAGAGAGAGAGAGAGAGAGAGAGAGAGAAAATTTGGCGTCGTTACTTGCCTAAATAAGTTGCCATCATTTTATGTATACACGATTTATGCCGATGTATGTGTATTTTTATGCAAAGTGAAAACTAAGCCAAGGATAACGGCAATCTCCAGACGAAGTGAAAACAACCGATTCCGATGTGATGCTGAATGAGTGTCAACCATTCAATTACCACATACATTCTAGGTTTTATTTAAGTCAAATCATCATGCAATTAAATGTGAGCGAAAGAGAGAGAGAGAGAGAGAGAGAGAGAGGAGACCACTTGACATGCGTTTTATGCAATTTCCTTCTTTGCTATCTTGACACGATCGAGTTGTTATTTATGGTGCAATGTTATTGCTTTAACTTATGGTCGATGTTTTAGTGCCCTCTCTCGTTTTGGCACTTACATGCTTAAGCTGTATATGTTTATGTGTTGTTAAAAATGTTGGTTGCGGATGTGCTTCGTTGTGTGATTGTCAAGCGAGTGCGTAGCTTGTTCATGTTTGTTTACTTTGTGAAAGAAAAAAAAACGAGCACTAATCAAATTATGCAGAGCATGGAATGGATGAGTTGAAAATTGAAAGGACCTAAACTGACTCGTCGAGAAAGCGTGCGAAAGTGAGCACTTTAAGTGTTTTGTCACAAAGTTTGTTGTTTCTTTTTATCATGAAAATGCTTTTTTTTCACGTATCTTTTTTTTCTCTCTTTGCTATCCTCGTCGAAGTTTGTATATGACTTTTAACGAGTAGGCGGTTGACACAATGAGTATTATTTTGTAGTTCAACTCCCCAAGTTCTATCGTTTGCTTCAGGTATTTGTAGAATCAATTTATGAGGCATACATCGTTCATCAACGTGCTCGGCACTCATTTTTTAAAAATGTACATTCGATGCAAAACAGCTTAAAAGTTTCATTCGTATTAGTCTCATTAAATGGAATTGTTCGTTTTTTTTGTTTGTTTGTTTCTAATCATCTCATTTTGTCTCATCTCACTTCAATATTGATGCTTCAAAAATGGTGGGTAAAAAAAATCGGCTGTTTTGGTCGAAATTCATGGAGATTAATTTCCAAGCGATAGGCAAATTGCGTTAAATGAATATGGTTGTGTACGATGTGTACGGTTTCTGTTTGTAATTATTTCAATCTTATTATTTTGCCGCTTTCGGTCGCTGATGATTAGTCGCATTTTGAATGAGTAAATATTTGCCAACGAAATTATACATACACGTCGTCAATTAGAGAGATCTTGTTGAAACTTCATTATCGCATTGTCGAAATGGTGAAGAAGAAAAAAACATAATTCAGCCCTCAAATTAAATTTTAAACACGAATACCACCAATTTTTTTTCAGAGACAAAATAAATACGATTCCAAAGAGAACGATAACAAAATCGACACCCGCACACAATACAACAATTTATGATGGCCAAATAGTGAAACGTAATGCGACCGATACACCAGCTAATGCTAAAGTAGACCGACGTATACGAAAACCAATCATCGAACATTTTACATTGCCATCGAGCTACAAACACAAGAAACGGATACATTGCGATCGAAAGAATGCCACACTCGAACGAAGTTCAACCAAAAAAAATACGGTTGAACAATTGGTGAATGAAACAACAACGACTGTGACCACCGCACAGAAAGCGAACATTGAAACGACGAAAATGCATTATCATAATCCGAACGAAATGCCAAAGTATTTGTTTGGCGAACGAAATAAACAACAGCACTACCAAAAGCCGATTAAATCCGATGAAATTTACTTGAATAAATCGGGATGGGTACAGGTTCGAGAACCGTATAACAATAATATTAACCACCACACCACCACCAACAGCAACAACAACAACAGCAAAAATAACGGCACAAACAATTCATTTCAAAAATACAGCAACACCAATTTTGTACAATCAAACAGCAATACAAGCAAATTGGAGGCGCTTATATCACGCAGTGAAATTCGTAAGGTAAAATGTACCATTGATCCACAATTGTCGGCAATGTTAAGCGAACGGCCTGGTTTTTTGCCAATTAAACAGTATGATGACAATGAATCACCGCCACCGATAACGCCAATCATTTCACCGCCGCCAGCATTTCAAGACAGCAAAACAATTCGCCAAACATCGAAATTGGCATCAACAAATGGTGGCCAAGACCCAAGCACCGCTAAAGGAATGGTTTTTTCACGAAGCTTTGAATATGATACACGAAAACCATACGAATACGATCACACATTTTCGAAAAGTTTTGATTATGACTTTCTAAGTCCAACAAAAGAAGAGGCAAAAATTGAAAAAGAAAATGCATTTCCGAGCTTAACAAGCGTTTCAACGAATTATCTACCGGAAAGACCGGATAAGACGAGAGCAAATAACCGCGAACCATCGATGAATGTGTATCAACAATATTTGGAGCCAAAAGAATACATTGAATCTTCAACGCGTAAGACACGCGCTCGTTCAACATATTCGTTACGGTCGGAAGTGATTGAACGACCGGTATCACGTTCACGTCATGGACACGTGCCAAAACAAGATTCATCCTCATCTTCGGGCAGTCTAGCCGGTTTCCGTGCACATCAAAATTCAATCAGCAAACGACTGAATTCATGCGATAGCGGAGCTCGTTCAGGTACACATTTCTTTCTCTCTGTCTGCAATAAATGTTTTTCTTTTTATCCTCTTAGAGAGTATTTAGTTGTGGGCTATTCAATTTCGTTTGCATTAAAATTCTTATTTCATTTTCATCTCACATTGCCACATAGATTTGTCTAACGATGAAGCGGATGAGGAAGAAGGGCCACCGAATAAAACTCAACGTGCACGTCATATATACAATCAACAACAGCCGAATCTTAGCCTCAAGCAACGTTCGTTAACACCCGAAAATTTAACAGATGATCAAATAACATTTCATCGAAACAAAACACAAACAAGTGAAAAGCGCTTAAATCACAGTTCTTTCGAGGGATCCCAAGGATCCTTATTGGATAAGAATTTAATACGAAATAATACACTTGACCGTCAACACCTAAGAGTGCCCGAAAAAACATTCATTTCGTCACGAAGTTCATCCAGCTCAAGCTGCAGTGAAGCTGAAAATGAACTCATTGGCTTTAGACGATCCAAAAATCGTACAAGTGGAAAATCTATCGGGGAGAATCGCATTAGACGATCTAGGTAAATAATGCAAAATGTCCCTTTTAACATCGGCAAAGCAATTTATTTTTGCATTATAAATTTCAATTAGGGCAATACGATTATGACATTATGTTTCTGAAATGAAATTTAAATAAGTACATCATTTTCACTTAACTTGAAATAAGTGTAAAGTTAAATAATAATTTTTTCGTGTTTTTTCTTTTTTTTCTTGCCTTTTCAGATCACTTCAACTAACTGAACGATCGCCAAATCGGACAAAAATGCATAAAACTGTCGTTCAAATCAGTGGCAATAATGGACAAAAAGAGAGACAAATTAATCGAGTCGCATCGGCATTGGTGAATCGACGGCTCATAAATACAAATGGTAACAATAATCGACTGACAGTGACAAATGAACGACAATATAAAGATGTGAGAAATGCTGATTTGGAAAAGAGTCGCTCATTGGATTCCGAATACGAGCGATTTCAGGGCAATTCACGAACTGAGTTTGACAAGAGTCGGTCGTTTGACGAGAATTATAGTGATCAATTGGCACAATCAAAGTATTTGGATAGTTATCAAAATAACATGAAACAATCGATTCCAATGAAACCAGGCAGTCCACAAAACTATGGAAATCGATATTACGAACATGATGTCATTTATGATAAATCAAGAAAATCTTTAACACGCTCACCATTGATGGCATATAAGCACGATGGAAAGAATGCACATGCAAAACATCAACAAATCCGTGGCAAAAGAGACGATGAACGTTCGCCAAATTTGAATCGTGAAAGTATGTATAGATCAATGACAAAAAGTTTTGATCACTTACAATCGGCAATACCGGCACAATCGATCCAACAAAATGCATCATCGATGCGAGATCATTCGCCAACAAAACGTGTACACTCGAATCACAAAAATGCATCGTTTGGTTCAGATTATGATTTAAATGCAAGCGATTTCAATGTCAGCTACGATATCCGTGGCAATGGTAAAAATGATAAAGAGGCAAAACTTATGTCCGAATATTACTTTGGCAATGCGAAAGCAAATGCGGAATCGTATTTGAATCAAAGACGTCGTGATACGACCAAAGCGTCAGCCATCCCATCCGCAAGGTATTTAAGAAACTAAATTGAAACCAAACTTATAACACACGAATCCCAAACCAAATACTAAAGCATAAAAATACCAAATCTAACAACTCTTCATCACACAAAAAAAAACTATTTAAAAACAAATTACCAACTAATGACAAACTAATGCTTAGAACACCCGAACGATGAAATTCTTCCACCTTGCACTTCCACCGGATCTTCCCTTAGTTCGTACTGCTTTACGTTATTCTTTGATTTCCGTTTGAGAATTTTATTTGATTTTTTTATTGCGTTTTTTTTTTATTTTGTGGCTTTTTTTGTGTTTACTTTGGTTTTATCACATTTTATGTTTATTTGTTTTGCATACATCAGTTTCAGTTGCGCTAATATGTCGTGTGCTTGTGGTCAAACGGGTAATCATAGTGATAGTGGATTGATTGACAACGCAAAAATATCAAAATATCGATCATCAATTCCATCAAATAATGTGCGTACGAAAAATGATTCAATTGCATTATGTAACGAACATAAATCAAAGCATGCGACACGGATTAAAGCCCATGCCGAACCAATATATGTGAATCGCATACAAAATCGATTAGTGAACTATAATATTGATAATAATGAAAGTGATTATTATTATAATACCGTTGAAAATGACGATGTCACCAACGCCGAACGAATAATAAATGTCAATAAAACGAAAAGTAATTACAAATTAATGGGAAAACCACCGTCCGGTGAACGATATTTGAGAGGCTTTTATGGTTTATCGTTAGATGAACGTGAAATGCCAATAACACGTGAACGCTCAAAGCTATTGCAAACAAATAACATAAAACGATGTGTTGGTGATGTCAAAAAACCAACCAAATTATCTGGATCACCAAAATTATTGCGGTCATCAACGTGCGATGCTTATCAAAGCCGTGGAAAGAACAGGTAATACAAAACAACAACTTTCTTACATCTTTCTCATTTACCATATCAACCAATTCATTACTATTCGAGGCATATTGGTTGTAAATAATTTACTCGCGTTAACTGTATACTTATTGAAAATTGAAGATTGATGATCCAAAGTCAATAGAGCTATGTTTTCGTTCGAATATTCAATGTATTTAGGTCTCCAGTGTTTGGGAGTCGATATCACAGCAACAACGGTAGCAATGGCAACAACAACAACGGCAACAGCATTGGAGCGAAGATAAGAGAATTAGATCGATTACGGAGCCGCTCTTTGCCATGCTTATTCATGCGACATAGGTAAGTGTGCAATTATTTTAAGTATAAGCTATTCAAAGTTGATCTACCATTTGACAAATAAAAATGAACTCGAAACGCCCGAAAATCACTAAAAAATACACATTCAGAACTGTTATCCAATCCACTTGAGTAATATTCAAAAAGTTTTATTGAAAGAGAAAAAAAAAGAAATGTTACTTGAACGTCTGTATATATGTATCTGTCTAAGACGTACTCTTTAGATGAAAAAGTTTTTATGCACGATTTTACATTTTCAATCTTTCAATGAAAATCAATCAACTGTGTGAGCACAAAGAAAGTACGTTTGTAAACTTTAATAGAGAAAGAGAAATAAAGAATTGAATAAGAACAATGCATAGAATTCCACTTGGAATTGCCTATTTGTAGAAATTGCGTCTATTGGTCGTAAGGTGGCACAGGTAGAGCGTAACGTGCAATTACGTCTTAGTCTTACTCACTTATTTGAATGAAGAGAACGGGAGAATGAATGATTTCCATGTCTATATTGACTCAGTTGGTCGACACCAAAACATTAAATTGTGATAAAAAAAAAATTGTGTTTGCTAACAAACGGTAAAATGCATTTCGTTTTATTTATTGGTATTAAATATTTTTTGCGTTGCAAATTAAAACCATGCATCGGTATATGTCTGGCAAGCGTCAGTATATACAATTATTTTTCGAGATAAGGTGCGTGCTTCAATCGTTCCATCGGCTTTGCTAATTCATATGACGATCACCATAAAAATAAGCCTTGTTAAGTGTTACGCAAAAAGAAAAAAATGTCGATGCATAAATTTTGGTGAGTTTATTATCAGTAAGCATTTTTATCCATTGTGTCAAGTGCAAATGTATACAAATTTACAAATGCGATACAACGGTAAATAGTGCCACATTCGTGTGATGTCGTCGTTTCTTTCATCCGAACTAGTCGAACTCGGTTATGAGTTCAAGCATTGATTTACAATTACATTGATAACATGCGATTTGTACGATTGTTTCGAATACGAAACCGTTGCGCCGATATTGTGCATTATGTGTGCCGAGCGTGTGTTTTGTGCCGGTTACAAAGTGAACAATAGTTAAGGTAGTTTTTATTGGTGTAGTTTTCTGTTATTTTAAAACGGAGATTCGTCGGCACATCACTCAACGACAGACAGAAAGTAGAAACAAAAAGAGAACGAAAGAAAAGGAGAACATGAGATTCCAAAAGCATCACACAGCACAAATACGATACGCACACGACGTATTTTAGTCGTATCGGTTTGTCTCTGTCGGCATCTTTTCGCTGCCATACGGTGTATCAGCATTGAGTGTGCTCTTGTGCAAGGCTATGCACATATACAACTTTAAAAATGCGCGTAGTCGCTCTCACACTTCCATGTCATTCAGCAAATTCAATTAAATATGTTGGTGCTGGCATTTTTATAGCTGGCTGCTTGTAGTTTGTGAATGAAAAACGAAACGGGCGCGCTCAACATCATACCATCACATAAACACATACAACACCAACACATGGCCACATACACACCAACACATGTGCAAACACAGTCACTAACGACCGCAGACATATACACCGATAGTTTTGTGTATGCATACGAATGTTCGTGTTCATAGTTTCAACTATGATGTTAAAGGGACGCGCGGTGACGGCCAAAAGTGAGCGAGCGAAAGAACAATATAAACACATAAGCATACCGATGTTGTGTGTAGAAGACAAACGAAACCAAAACAGTCGGCGCGCAATGTCATGCACACGCAGACTACATAAACTGACAAATACGACCGTTGGAAAATGCATTTTGTCGTTCGGTTTATCAGTGTGCCATGACGCCTTCTTTCGAACAACAACACATCGGAAAAAAAAATGTTGTTTAATTTTTTTTTTCTTCACTCTAATCTCTCGTGTTTTGAAATTTTAAAATTTAACCAGTGCGTTATCGATTTATTTAAGAAAATAATTGAGTCAAACCAAAAAATAAGAAGAGAAGAGTTAAATTGTTCAAGCAAATAATTCGATTGAATTTCGAATTTAGTAAATTTCAAATAGTTCAAAGTGTGTTGTACAAATTTTGACATTTAAAAGAGAAAGAAAGACGTTCTTTTTAATGAACCGTTTGATACTATGAAATTTTAATAAATATACATATTATAAATAGCTTATTTTCAATTCAATTAAAAACAAATCCAACAAATCAATTGTTAACATTGTGAATAACGTGAAACATATCTGTTTTTCATCATCAAATAATTTATACATATATCTATACATACATCGAAATAGTGGACACAGTGTGAAATGTAATCACTATAGAACAAACGAAAGTTGTTGATTCAAGCAAAAAATGTATATTAATTGATAGCATTAATTATGGTTTAATTTGGAGGGAGAAATTTCTAAAATAACATTCAACATGTTAGCATTGTGACCAATGTGTGACACATTGTTTTTGTATGAATTAAAAATTGTGCAAAGAACAGCGATTCGCTCTTTTGAACTGCGAAGGGCACATTGAATTGAATTTCGCAATTCTTCGTTGAGTTTTTTTCTTCTTGTTCTTCATTAAATTGAAATGATCACATACTTTGGGCAATAATTGTGCAAAACAATTTTATTAAGCCTATTGCGTGGATCAAAAATGCTCGCACAATACCGTGTGTGTGTGTTTTTTTTTTCTTCTTTTAAATTTCGTACATTGAATATTATTATTATGTAATCAGGCGGTTACAATTTGTTGATTTTCTAGAAACGAGATAAGAAGCAAAGACCTTTTGGCAAACAAAACCCAAAAATCTATGTTCCATGTCTAATGGTCAACGAACCGAATAAGTGTGATTCTTTCTTAATTATTTCTAACGAAAAACTAATCAAATAAACAAAAAACAAAGTGCGGTTGAATTTTACAAAGAAATTCTTTGTGAGAAGGCGAACTTCTTTGATAGTAAGCTCAGAACTATTATTTGTTGTATGGGCGAATAGGGAAAAAAAAAATGTAATTTAAACAAGAATTTCAAACGGAAAACCAACAACACCAGGATGAGTAAGAGATATAAGTGGAATTGGCGACCAAACGAAGGAGCCAAACCAACAGAAGAAACATAAAAACACATTCTACAGAAAAACGTATACAAACCAGCCAGTCTCTCAGTTTTAATATTGAAGAAAAAAAGGGCAAGTAAGAAGGAGATGAAACGAAAAGAAAAAAAAAACACCATGAAAAGAACCGGTGCGATGGATGTGCGTTATAAAGATGCTTAACAGCTGTCGAGAAATATTTTTCACGTTATGTTTTCGTATAGATGTCGAATATGTGCTCGGTTGTTGGTTACTTCATTTTGATTTGGTCTCTTTCTTCCTTTGGCTGATGCTGCCGCCATCGATGTTACTCATCTCATCTCGTACTGTTTTGTTATGCTGTGTTGTGTTATGAAATTCATAGAATTTCATTCTGAAGATACAGATCTCCTTCTTCTTTTTCAACTTTACCTTCTTCACATTCATTTCGTCTCGTTAATGTTGTTGCTATTTCATGATTATTTCTTTATATTCATTTTATGCTCATGCTGGTTGCCTTTAAAATAAACCGACAAAATGGTTCGGTCTCAATTTCAACACATATACAACGTTGCACGTCTCGAACTGCATGCAATGAATAAAAATAATGACGATTGAATGAACACACTTGGTGCTACAGTACACATCACATAAACGTGCCAAATACACAACAAATCTCATACAATGTACATGCTTTTTTTCTTCAGTCACACATTTCGGTTTTCTTCTTTCTCATTTCATTTCTCCTTTTTTTTCCTATTCAATGCACATTGTACACAAACAAACGTTCGCATATGATATACGCACAACTACATGGACATCTTCATTGTTCTTCTGTTGAGCGGTATATATTGAGCCAGCTCGTCCAACAAAAAAAACAACAACAACTACAACGAAAATCATAAATGTCATTTGTTTCTTTATGACATTATAATGGGCAAGGAGTCGTGTACGATAGCCGCCAGACCGTTTTTTTATTTTATAGCCAATTTGTACAAGTTATAATCAACACACACACGATATATATTTTCGCACATGTTCACTACAACGCTGACAACTTTATACGAATTCAAATGAAATGCAAAACAGTAAAAATATGAAAGAATCAGCGCCAACCAAAAGGCATGAACCTGTTGCCGAAATGAAGCCCAAAGAGAGAGAAAAAACACTCATATGCAGAATAAATTATTCAAATTTTTGAGAATTCCTTTTTGACATGTTTTTTGCCGCTAAAATCAACCACACAATTGTACACCATATAAAAAATAATGCTCACCTGTCACACTTTTAACGTGTTGGTTCAATCGTCCCTTCGTTACATCGTCGCATTCATTCGATTCGCTCTCGTCTTGCAACAAGCATAAAGTTCAAATGAACACAATCACATTAGTTACAATGTTTTATTTCTCTCTTTATTTTATTCTCATGTTTACGAAATTTTACAGATGAATAAGATCTTTAACTAACCAACATGAAGACTGATTGATTGCAATTCAGCCGGATAGAATTGAAGAAAAACATAGTAGTTGACAGATAAAAAAAAATCAATGAAAATATCACTAAATTGAAAATCGATCTAAAATTAACGTTTGGCAATGAACACAAACAATTTAAGTGGATTAAAATTTAACCAAAAGGTTCGCAGTGTGTGGATGTGTATGTGAAATTGAAAGGAAAGTGATTATTTAATTTGTTCTTTTTCGTTGTAATAAAAAGAAGACGAAAAGATGTCTGCAATCATAATAACAAATAAAATGGATGTAAATCAAAAGGCATCCAATACGATTGTCGCCGATTCTAATTTATTGCCACGGACAAATGATGTTAATTACATCAACGGCAAGGTCAGTGACAATAATTCCAATGGCCAAATAGATTCATCAAATTTGATAAATAGCAACGACAATATGACCACGAAAAAAGATAATGAAAATTCGAATGACAA